TTAATGCATCCTGTAACCACCAATGAAATGAGATCACCGTCAAGCGAACAACCAATCAGACCTCCCGACGTATACAAGAACTCGAACAACAGCGCGAAAGTTTAAAGATATATATATATATATATATATATATATATATATATATATATATATATATATATATTATAGATTATATTTATATATATATATATATATATATATATATATATATATATATATATATATATATATATATATATATATATATATATATACTATTTATATATGTACTATTTATAAACCGAGTGAGAGGGCTTTATCGGTGCTATAGGCACCAATCACGAGGTTTATAAATGACTTCTAAAATTCACCTTTTGTTTTGGGTCCCAATGAAATAATAAGAAATGTTAACTACAATAGTTCTATTGTTTTACGATTCTTCCCTTCATTGATCAGCAAGCAAATTAATGACTGGATTAATTATCAAGTCATACAAGTCGTTAAACGGAGTTTTCAAATGGAAATTTGAACATATTTGACTTGTGTCGTTAATGAGTCGGTTTCAAAGCGCTCGAAGTGGTGAAGAAGAGCAAACGTTGCTCGAAAGAGCGATGCAACCAAGTACAAGATACGCGACAAAGTGAGTGGGCTTTGAAGATTTTTGATTCCTGGAGAGCTGCTAGAAAGGTTAAAGAAGTGAAGATCGACGATGCTGGTCATGAAACTGATGATATTGGCCCAATCCAGACATTGGACTATATCGCTGGCGGAGATGAATGAAGCGTCTTTAGCATTTTAGTTAAGCAAGTTTGTTGGGTTTAGAGAGTTTAAGTGCATGGTGTGTAATCAAAACGAAAGGGTTGTTAATCCCGTGTTTAACAATTGTAACATTACCTTTATTCTTTAACTTTGGAAAATAAAGTATTTATTGATTTCTCGAATATTTTTATTAGGAACAGATTAATAAACATTTTCGGTTAAAGAATGCTTTATAAAGGTACATGTATTTTTATCATAAAGGTACATGTAGTCTATAGCTATGTGAATTTTAAATCAGCACACACTCATATATATATATATATATATATGTACATATATATATATATATGTACATATATATATATATATATATATATATATATATATATATATATATATATATATATATATATATATATATATATATATATATATATATATATATATATATATATATATATATATATATATATATACGTATCTGAGTGTCTTTATTTAAGCTCAACCGGCATAATATTATAAAGTAATCTATAGCAAGCCGAGGTCGAGCGTTTTACGTTTTTATTTATATTAAATAGCGGTGACGCCGCCAAGAGCCAGTGAACTAATGATCTAGTGTCTCAGTGTCTGTAGCGAAAGTGAAGTATATATTTTTAGCAGAAATTTCTGTACTGTGATCTGTAGTCAGTTCGTATAGTTTCCGAGACGTTTTACATAATCAGTCATTCCAAGCTTTTGTCAAACTATTGCCTATTGGTATTTCTCACTTATGGCATTTCATTGATAAACTGTAAAATATTATATTTATAGTGACAAATATTTAGTTCGGATTGCATATAAGACAGCAACTTCTGGAGCACGTGGCCAGAACGCAGTCGACATGAACCCGTCCTGTTTTCCATTGGCTTTCTAAATTTGGAAAAGATTTCGAATGTCAGGTGACGACAATTTCTTGCAAGCTGTTCATTTTTGTTTCGAGTTCGAAAAGCGGTTTAATTATTTTGTACAACGGGAAATGGGTAGAAAATACGAATTATCCGACAATCCCTTGACTCGCCAGGGTGTGTTATGTCAAAGCAGAAGGCGAGGAGATAGCCCACGAGTTATCGACAATCCCTTGACTTGCCAGGGAGCTTTATGCAATCGAAGCGAAAGGCAAGGAGATAGCCCACGTGTTATCGACAATCCCTTGACTTGCCAGGGAGCTTTATGTAATCGAAGCGAAAGGCAAGGAGATAGCCCACGTGTTATCGACAATCCCTTGACTTGCCAGGGAGCTTTATGCAATCGAAGAGAAAGGCAAGGAGATAGTGAACGTGCTATCGACACGGACCTTGATCACGGGTCCATCACAACGGTGCAAAATCGTGATCTCTTGAAAGAATCTAACGAGCAATCTTACGAGCAAATCGATACTTATCATATGCTATTCAACTTATATGAAACTACTGAGAACTTATGAGAAGCTTTTATTTACTGATGGAAAGCTGCAACGCCTAGTTAGAACCATTCTCGTACCCAGAGCCCTTCTTACGCGCGTTCGACCGAGCGCGACGAGGGGCTCTGGCCAAATCCATATCAAACTGGCATCTGATTGGCCACAACGAAATATATGGTTTATTGTATAAAATATGAATAAAAAATAAAAATACACAAGCGCTCCATGAAGCGTTGGTTTCGCTTTGGAAAAAATTGGGAGAAAAGATATTATTAAAGTTGAAAGAACAGCAGTACGAAGCAGTTAGGAAGATTGTTGTTGATAATCGCCCACAAAAGCGGTAGATTTCGCTAATTTTATTTATTTAAATCAATTAGTTGATTGAAATTAATATAGCTTGAGACGTGATGTTCTCACAGCAAAAAGTCAACATATATTTATGGCAGATGCACGTCGTATTCTCAAATCAGTGATGTTAAACAAATCTGTGTTACTTGTTCAAAGCTGAAGTGCCATCTGAAGAGAAAATAAGCCAGCCAGAATATGAAGTTTGTGATGACTATTTTCTTCTTAGAAACCGATCTTTTACAATTTTCAAAGGATTTGCAGTATAGTATGTCTTATGTATGACTGTTGACTTTTAATGAAACACAAAAAAAGTCTAAAAATCCGTACAACAGCGACTTAAAATCGAATATAAAATAGTGAGACAATCTCTCGTCTTCGTATCCGTAGCCATGACTGCTTTGACAACGTTTAAGAGAGAAATATATACTAAATTTTATCAACATGCATTGAGAACATCACGTCTTACCTACTAATTGATTTAAATAAATAAAATTAGCGAAACCTACCGCTTTCGTGGGGTTTTCCTGGAGAAAAACTTTCAAAACGAAACAAACAAGAAAAGCGAAATGTTTATCCGCGTTTGACGTTGAGCATGCGGAGTGTTTAACCGAATACCATGTTTTTATGGTATCCGGTTATGGATTTGGCCAGAGCCCCTCGTCGCGCTCGGTCGAACGCGCGTAAGAAGGGCTCTGGGTACGAGAATGAGTTAGAACATATTGCAATAAAGTTGACCTTGGCCTTCACATTGTATCAAATGTCTTTGAATTTATAGTACTGTCATCACAGTTTATAGTGCTGTCATTGCGAATTTATTATATATTTGAGAATATATGAAAAACTTATCCGAACATTTATCATTCGCACTATACGAATTTGTCAAGTTACTTAAGTGTTGTCGCAAATCTCTATGAGACTAAATTTTCAGAAATTAATCAGAGTATTTATAATTATAGAACCAATAAATATTATAAATAATGAGACACGGCAGGCTGTGCCAACTGAATATGAAGTATTACACACCAGTCAGTGTGATTATTTTTCTCGAAGTCGATTACGAACTAAGAGTTTAATACATGTCAGAAAGCGTGATAGAGAACCTTCTAGAATTCCCGTTAAAAAACTAGTTAATTTGATGCGCAAAAATAGAAAGCGCCGATATAAAATAAAACTATTAATAAAGCGGTTAATTCCGAAATCATCTGCTTGGCATAACTTGCTTTCGACGCAATACCGTAAAAATGCTTTTCACAGACAAACAAATGAATGGCGATTTTGGAAGTGCCCCTGTTGTACTATAAAGTCTAAGAAAATGCATAGAGCGGCACAAACACGTGTAGTTGTCCAAGTTAAATAGAAGAAAAGTCTTGAGTACTAGTAAGTCAAGTAAATGTGATATACAAAGGCTGACCTCCTGTGACAAGTATTCTTTATTCGTATGTGGTGATATAGAATTGAACCCAGGTCCATATAATTTTAATTTCGATATTAACTACAAGACTAGCCCAAATAGAACTACAACCAGTAAACATTGCTGGCGATGGAAATTGTTTCTTTCGCAGTGTAAGCCACCAACTTTACCAAACAGAAACCTATCATGCACAAGTAAGAGCCCTTGCTATTCAACATTTAATCAATAGTCCAGAACATTTTATAGAAAGTAATACTGATCAATCGTGGATGCAATATTTACAAAACATGTCGAGGCTAGGGACATGGGCAGACCATATTATCATACAGGCAGTTGCGAATTCGTATAATTTAAGAATTCATATCACAGAAAGTGCACCAAATTTCTCTGAACGTACAGATGTAAGTTCTATCTATGCTAATGACCCTGGAGGAAATGCAAGAAATATTTACATAGGACATCTTGATGAAATGCATTATCATATCAACTACCCCCATTAGCCGAACTGTTTCCGTACATTGTGAGTCTAATGCAAAACCAGATAACATGCTTTCTAACAAATCTGCTAATTCATCAAGTAGAAAGGAGTATATGAGGGAATACATGAAGAAATAAAGAATGAACAATGAATTTAAAACTAAAGAAAATGAAAGGAAAAAATATATAATAGAAAAATCATTCGAATCCTGAAAAAGTGAAAGAATCTCAGAAAAGAGCAGATGCAGCATACAAACAATCGAATCCTGAAAAAGTGAAAGAATCTCAACAAAGAGCAGATGTATTATACAAACAATGGAATCCTGAAAAAGTGAAAGAATCTAAAAAAAAGCTAATGCAGTACACAAACAATGGAATCTTGAAAAAGTGAAAGAATCTCAAAAAAGAGCAGATGCAGCATACAAGCAACGGAATCCTGAAAAAGTGAAAGAATCTCGACAAAGAGCAGATGTAGCATACAAACAGTGGAATCCTGAAAAAGTGAAAGAATCTCAAAAATGAGCTAGTGCAATGTACAAACAATCGAATCCTGAAAAAGTGAAAGAATCTCAAAAATGAGCTAGTGCAATGTACAAACAATCGAATCCTGAAAAAGTGAAAGAATCTCAAAAAAGAGTTAATGCAGCATACAAACAAAGGAATCTTGAAAAGGTAAAAGAATCCCAAAGAAGAGCTAATGTAGCATACAAGCAATCCAATTCTGAAAAACGTAAGGTAACGTTACGAAAAGCAGACGTTTTATACAGACAGTCAAATCCTGAAACAGTTAAGGCATCAGGGCAGAAATCTAGTGCAATGTATAGGCAATTACACCCAGAAAAAGTCAAAACATCCTGGAAAATTTCAACCATTATATATTGCATACAGACAAAATCATCCAGAGAATTATAAAGTATCGCAGAAAAAGCAATATTTAAAAAGAAACTTAGCTACTAGTGAAAACGAAACTGACCTAGGACTGAGTAAGCACAAGAGATGTAAATGTAATCCTGAATCGCAAATAAACATGTCAGAAAGTATTGCACTGTTTCATAAAAACATTAATGTTGGTCCGGAATATATTTGTACATGTTGTGAACAGTTATGGTATAAACCATCAGTTACTAAATGCAATCCTGATTTGTATAAATCTTGTTCAAGAGAAATTCTTAATTTGTATGTTACTACTGGTATTAAAAGTATCGATGACACTGAATGGATATGTTCTACATGCCACTCAAACCTTAAGTCTGGTAAGCTTCCAAGTTGTGCAAAAGCAAATAAAATGACTTTCCCGGAAAAACCTGATGTTTTAAAGAATTTAACACCTCTGGAAGAGAGACTTATTTCGCCAAGAATACCTTTTATGCAAGTACGAGAATTGCCTAGTGGAGGTCAATTAAGTATTTACGGTAATGTAGTTAATGTACCAGCTGATTTTAATTTAACTGTCATGCAGCGTCTTACCAAAGACCATGAATCAATGAGTCACAGACTATTCCAATGAAACTGAAACGCCGACTTAGTTACAAACACCATTACCAATTTCAGAACGTAAGACCATCTAAGGTTTTAGAAGCAGCTCGATATTTAGTTGAAACAAGTGATATATTTAAAAACGAGGGAATACAGGTATTAGATAACTACGTAACAGACTAACAGATCAAGAAAATAATGATGAAGAGTGGTCAGAATTTAGTGACAAGGACAAGACGGAAACTTCGGGTAATTTGTCAAACAACTTGAATACTCAAGATCAGAAAAATGTACAAACGCAAACATGTGATATCTCTATCGACAATGACACTGATGATGAGTGGTGTGAAGAAACAGAACGACCATCAGGTGTTATGGATACATTATTACAAGAACCTGACATTACTCAACATGGTGATAGAATAATCAGTTTTGCTCCTGGCGAAGGAAATAGACCACTTGGATTATTTATTGACAAAGACTCAGAATTTTTGTCCTTCCCCACTATTTACTGTGGCAAACGTCGAACTGATAATAGTGAAAGGCTTGTACCTGTTCACTATAGTACAATTTGTAAATGGGATTGCGAAGTAAAGACAGACGGGTTGCACAGTCTGTTCCAAACATATTTTACAAATTGAAAAAACTGCAAATCAAGCAAGTTCAGGGAAGTGCAAGTTTATCATTACGTAAATGTAAAACTAAAGGTAAAACGTACACAGCTGGAGATTTGAAATCAGAAAGTTCTGTTAATAAGTTAATTAATTTAGATGAAGGCTTTAGAGTTTTCAGGAATTTACGCGGTTCACCTCCGTACTTCGAATGATGTAAGAAAGACTTATTTGCAATGATTCGCCAGCTTGGAAATCCGACCTGGTTCTGTTCCATCTCAGCCGCTGAAACGAGATGGATTCATTTGATCAAAATTCTTGGCCGTCTTATTGATCATAAAGACTATACTGACGATGAAATTAAGGGAATGACTTGGCAGAAAAAGTCAGAATTGATACAGAAAGATCCAGTAACATGTGCAAGAAATTTTGAACATATGGTGCAATTATTTATCCATAACTTTATCAAAAGCTCAAATCATCCAATCGGAGAAGTCATTGACTTTTTCTATCGTGTTGAATTCCAACAACGAGGTTCACCACATATCCATGGATTATTCTGGATTAAAAACGCCCCTGAGTATGGAAAAGACTCTGACGATTATATTGCTAAGTTTGTAAATAGTTATGTTTGATGCAGTGCTAATTCTGATGAATTAACCGATCTCGTAAATTTACAAAGACATAGACACTCAAAAACGTGCAAGAAAAAGGGACATAATGCTTGCAGATTTAATTTTCCATTACCGCCAATGTCAAGAACTATGATTTTAGAACCTTTATCTGAGACTGATTTTGAAGAAAATGTGGCAGACAAATTAAAGAAAGATTTAGTGAAAATTCGTTCGTTATTAGATTCTATCAAAGCTGATGAAACCATGTCTTTTGACGAATTTCTTGAAAAGCTGGATTTATCCGAACAGCAATATCTAAAGGCTATAAGGCTTTCTCTTAAGCATAATACACTCTTATTAAAACGATCCCCAGCTGAGATTAGAATCAACTGTTACAATGCAAATTTACTCAAAGCTTGGCAAGCTAACATGGATATTCAGTTCGTACTACATCCCTATCTAAAGGTCAAAGGGGAATGAGCAAGTTACTTCGTAAAGCATGTGAAGAAGCAAAAGAAGGCAATAAGGATATTGTAAACAAAGTAAGACATATTGGTAATAAGTTTCTCAATGCTGTTGAAATAAGTGCACAAGAGGCTGTCTATTTAGTTTTGCAAATGCCTTTAAGACGATCATTTCGAGAATTCCAGTTCATAAATACATCTGATCCAGACGAAAGAACATTCTTGGTTAAAAATATGGATAAAATTAAGGGACTACCCGACCATTCCCTTGATATTGAGTCAGATAATGTTATTAAAAGATATCAAAGAAGACCGAAGCAACTGGAAAATTTATGTTTGGCAGATTTCGTTGCATTGTTTAATTGTAAAAGTGAAAGAAATGAGAAAAAAACAGTGAAACCTAATGTTAACTCAACACTTTTAGCAGATGATTATCTCTTGGAAAATGATTTCAATGATAATGTAGATGATGATCTCTCTGATAATGACGAGACATTAGATGAGCGTGATGAATATGAAATGAAAGGAGGAATAACTCTCGTGAAGAGGCAAAAACCAAGGATAATACGGTCAGTTAGATTCAATAAGAATAAAGATCCAGAAAATTATTGCAGAGAAAAAATTATGCTTTACACTCCTTGGAGAAATGGATAAAAAGATCTTCTCAAGGATTTTCAAACCTACCAGGATCGATTTGAAAATGTTAGAGATCTGATAGAAGAAAACAGAAAACATTACGAGAATCATTCAGCCGTTATTGATCAGGCAGTGCAAGATATTGAAAGTGAGGAATTTGGGAATGTAGTCGCTCCTAATGCACAATATAGAGATGAACAAGATAAAGATATTGGCTCAAAAGAAAGTGAATTATTTGGATGTTTTGATCCTGCCAAAGATAAGCAGCATACAGAATACTACTTAATAAATGACATTGGTATATATCCAAGAACAAATGATGATGAAGAACTAGTTGCAAAACGACTGAAAGATGATGATTTTAGGAAACTCGTTCAATCACTTAATATTGAGCAAAAGGAATTCTTTTACCATGTACTGAATTCTGTAAAAACTGGCAAAATGCCATTAAGATTGTTTTTAAGCGAAGCTGCTGGTGTTGGTAAAACTACTGTTACAAATGCTTTGTATGAAGCACTTATGAGATATTTAAATGCGGAACTTGAAAATGACCCAGACGATGTCAGTGTTATCAAAGTAGCACCCACAGGTAAAGCTGCCTTTAACATAAGAGGGAATACACTTCACTCTTCCTTTAAGATCCCTGCAAACAGAGGATTTAATTATTGCACACTTGATAGAGACAGATTAAATACTATAAGATCTCAGTTAGAAAAATTGCAAGTTATTTTTATTGACGAAATATCTCTAGTAGGCAGTGGTATGTTTAATTTTCTTGACCTAAGATTACAGCAGATAATGGGCACAACAGAACCATTTGGTGGTCTTAGTGTGATAACTGTTGGTGATTTATTTCAATTAAAACCAGTGTTTGATCATTGGATATTTGAAAACTCAAGCGAAAGCTATAATACATTAGCATCGAATCTGTGGCAGCAATATTTTCAAATGTTTGAATTGCCACAGCTAGGTTATGCGACAAAGGGAAGATAAAGACTTTGCTGAAATTTTAAATCGGATAAGGGAAGGCAAACACACTGAAAATGATATTAGAGCTCTAAAAGAACGAATATTTACGCTTACTTCAGAACATCCTGAATATCCAATAACGTATACACACTTATTTAGTGCTAAATAAATATGGCAGTAGATGAACATAATCATGAAATATTTCATAAATCAACAAATGAGAAGGTTCAGGTTAAAGCAATAGATATTGTACTTGGTGATTTATCCGATGATATGAAAGAAAGAGTAAAAAAACAAATCCCAAATGATCCTTCTAAAACTATGGGATTGTACTCAGTTTGTTCGATACTAAAAGAAGCGAAATATGATCTTACGACAAACGTATCAGTTGTAGATGGCATGACCAATGGTGCTGAGTGTATAATTAAGAAGATTGATTATCGAGTACCAGGTTCATCAAGACCAAGTATTATTTGGGTTTTATTTCAAGAACAGCACATTGAAAATAATCATCGCAAAGAATACTCTTATCTTTACAACCAGAAGTGGAAAAAAATTGGGTTCCAAATTTAGAGGTCACTAGACAGTTTAGAAAACATCAAATGCAAGTTCTTCGCAGACAACTTCCATTGAGACCAGCAGCAGCCAAAACTATTCACCGTTGTCAAGGAGATACAATGAATGAAGCTGTTGTTGACCTTCCATCATCAAAACGGGAACACATGCATTATGTTGCACTAAGTAGACTTAGAAGCATTTCAGGATTGCATATTCTTAATCTCAATGAAAATAAAATAGCTGTGAGCAAGAAAGTACAAGAAGACATGACAAGACTGAGAGAGAATGCATTACTCAACAGCGATATTCCTTTCCTCTATAAAGATACTAGTGGAACATTTAAAATATTATTTCAGAATGTGAGGTCATTACATCTTCACTTTAGGGGTATACCCCTCGACAGGGGTATACCCCTCTGGGTATACCCCTGTCGATTTTCATGTTCTTCTGCGGTACCAGAAAATAAAATATTCCTTTCAATCCTTCCGTAAACTTCTAACAGTTTAAGTTTCATGAGTTAGGGAAATTTAAGTTTCATGAGTTAGATAACTTTAAATATTGTTTGAACGAAATTATAGGAACGCGATAGAAGTTATGTAGTGGAAGAAGACGATTAATAACATTCAACAACATTTGTTTTTTGTCTAAAATATGGAATTTCATACAGTTTGTAACAAGCAATTTTGTTAGATCATAAACTGAGACTTACTTCAATTGCTCAAAATACGTCACATTTCATTGAATTCCGGGTAAGCGGGACCACATGGTAATATAGCTAATGCATTGCTAGTTATTACGCACTCTTAACCTTTTAAGCCCAAATCTTTTGTCCTTTTTCTAGGGTTTTACATATGCAAGTTGGTGAGATGTCATTCCAGTCACTCATTAATTGCTATATTCACGGGATCATACGTCGATCTCAGGGAGTATGTATAATGAGGTCTCAGTTTCCAATACTTCTGATTACCGTAGTTGACACCTGACATGTATCATGCTGTGACGTATATTGTTCATGCATATTATTTTGTTTCTGTTTAAGAGTATGAATCCGTTCGAGATGTTTAATTTCTTCGAATGTCGAAAAAATGTTAAGCAGGGATTGGAAACATTCGAGGTGCACACTGATACAGTATTTATAACAGAGACTGTATTTATAATCTACTCAGTATATATAGGCAATCATGCATAGGAAACCATAGGCAATCATATGATAGATAGCTAGAACAGTTCAGATTTTATATCATACACGTTCAGTATTGCCGTCGGTTAGCAATTGTATAACCTGCCACAGTTGCTTTAATATATCCATCACTAAGCTAGTGTGGCAAATGGTTACACATATATCACAATTAATTGGTTTAAGTAGAGTATTGTATTGTATTTTTATTTCACATCCCTTAAAAGGCTTTTCAGCGAAATTTTACATATATAGACATGCTCCATGAAGTCTGTCGCTCTAAAAGGTTTGTATTGCTCGCCTATAGCTTTGTAACTCCTTTGTAACTTTGTAATTCCCTTTGTAACTCCCTTTAAAACTCCCCTTTGAAAGACAAGTGTATAGAGCAAATAAGGTATCCCCATGCAATAATTTAATTTGTTGTAGTGGTTGCTTCTGGGCCTCGACAGGCACATTATCAATGTGGTAATGCAAAAGATGGAAATGCCGGGATTGCTCTGGAGTTTTACCGTGAAGCCAGTCACCTGTTTCCTCACGCTGGTATTTGTTATATTAGAGAAGCACAATGTTCCGTTGTACTGGTAAGTATATGACGTTGCACTCATAAAGTTGGCAAATAGTGTAATGGCGACTTACTTTACTTTAAGTAAGGAAACTAAATTCTTCCATTTTAGAAGTGTTTTGACCAAGCACAGAGAGCTTGTAGAAAAGGTGGGTGCATTTTTACACTTGGAAAACTAAATAGCCAACCTCGCAAGTCAGGCTTTCTACTTTCGCTTCCTTCCCAAACTGGAGCGTGTTTGAGATGGAAGCGGAAATAGAGAGCCTGGCTTGCGAAATTGAATGAACCATGTTAACCATATATATATATATATATATATATATATATATATATATATATATATATATATATATATATATATATATATATATATATATATATATATATATGATATTTTTGTAAAAGTTTGAAACTGATCTATTAAAAATCTTCAATAAAAACATACTAAATTTTCGGCTGCCAACTGCAGCCTTCTTCAGAGTATTTTGGCCGTGTTCGATTAGTTAAAGTCCTTTTATGCCTTATCCCGTTACACTCAATTGATTCTAACAATGGTAAATACGAAACCGGAAATTCTATGTGTTCATTGACTGCATTTTTGTCTAGTACAGAATGTAACGCTTCAAGAAACCTTCTTTTGTCATAGTTTTTAATGCCTTTTTCCAAAATACTTACGTCAGTTTTAGCGACTTCATGACCTGTCTGTTCAGCATGTTCTGTTATAGCTGAAAAAGTATTTTTTCTTACGCCTGGTTTGTGTTCAAGCCATCGGGAACACCAACATCTTTTAGACTCCCCGACATAAGTGAATGAGCACGACTCGCATTTGAATTTGTACACAATAGCTTTTGTTCGCATTTCCTGTGGTCTTTCTTTTGGTTTTTTGAATACATTCTCTAATGTGACTATCGGCTTGAATGCTGTCCGAACGCCTGCTCGAGTTAAGATGCTTTTGACTTTTTCCGACACACCTTTCACATACGGAATGCACGTCGAGCCACGAATCTCAAATTCAGAAGAATTTTGTTGTGTTTTGTTTGTATTTCTAACATTATCAATAAACGCTTTCTTGTATCCATTTAACTCTAACACTTCTGCTACTTTATCCGTTTCCTCCTTCTGTAAAACTTGGTTTGATGGAATAACTCTCGCTCGGTCTAATAATGATTTTACAACTGCGATCTTGTCTCTTACAGGGCTATGTGAGCCAAAATCTAGATATTTGTCGGTGTGTGTGCTCTTACGGAAAACTTTAATCGAAATGTCTGTAGAAATTTTACAAATCTCTGTTATCCAGGAAAGCGATTGTTTGCATGTCTCCATTTACTGCCGGTGTTTCAATGGTAAACTGAATACAAGGATTTATAGAATTTAAATGATCATGAAAAGCTATTATATCGTTTTGTTTTAAACACGCGTTTGAGTCATCAACATATCTTTTCCACCATCGTATCGGCACTGGGGATGTTCTCAAAGCAATTTTTTCCACCCTTTGCATAACTAGCTCAGCAATAACCGCACTTACTGGTGAACCCATTGCGCAACCCGAAATCTGATGGTATAGTGCTTTCCATTAAACACAAAAAAGCTATTTTTTAAGACAAAAGCCAAAAGACTGTAATAAGTCTGTTCTATCGTCAACTTTGTAAAACCTTTCACGCTTGGAAGAGGAAGCATTAAAACCTTTCACGCTTGGAAGAGGAAGCATTAAAAAGTTTACGGGGTAATAAAGATATTTTGATTACTAAAGCCGACAAAGGAAACGCAGTTGTAGTAATGAACCGCGCTGACTATCAAAACCAAGTTAACGAAATGCTTGAGGACAAAAATATCTATACATGCACATTACCGATAAACGACGAAATCCTACATCAAAAACTGAATTAGAACTACAAGATCGTTTACTTCGGTTAAAGGATACAGGACACCTTACTGAAAATCAATATAAAAGTTTAAGACCTTTTGACTCATATCCCGCAGCTTTCTACGGATTACCAAAGATACACAAAATACCTCTCATTGAAAAAGTTGATCATTTCACGGTAGATACCAACGTCAAAATGCCTATGAGGCCAATTAATAGTTGTATTGGATCCCCTAACTATCAAGTCTCTAAACATTTGGCATCCGTGTTAAAACACCTCTACGAAGGCGATCATGCGGTTAGAAATTCAAAAGATTTTGTTATGACCCAAACAGTAGAACCCGATGAACAAATTGTGTCATTTGATGTTACTTCGCTTTTCACATCAATTCCGGTAGATTTAGCACTAAAAATCGTTAAAGAAGAACTAGAAAATACAGAGATTTGGAAAGAGCACACAAAGTTGACGATAGAACAGATTTACAGTCTTTTGGCTTTTGCCTTAAAAAATAGCTTTTTTGTGTTTAATGGAAAGCACTACCATCAGATTTCGGGTTGCGCAATGGGTTCACCAGTAAGTGCGGTTATTGCTGAGCTAGTTATGCAAAGGGTGGAAAAAATTGCTTTGAGAACATCCCCAGTGCCGATACGATGGTGGAAAAGATATGTTGATGACTCAAACACGTGTTTAAAACAAAACGATATAATAGCTTTTCATGATCATTTAAATTCTATAAATCCTTGTATTCAGTTTACCATTGAAACACCGGCAGTAAATGGAGACATGCAAACAATCGCTTTCCTGGATAACAGAGATTTGTAAAATTTCTACAGACATTTCGATTAAAGTTTTTCGTAAGAGC